TAGAGAAATAATTGTCTTGAATGTTTGTTTACTACACAGCACCATCTATGCAACTCTGAAGTAGACATACCCCGTCTGATGATTACACTGTGTGTTGACGAACTACGTTCTGTGCAGAATCGTAAGAATGTTTATATCACTGTGATGAATCAGATTGCACGACTCAAGTCTATGTCCATAGAGGAAAAGGTATGGATATAAAGACTCAAGTGATTGCATTTAAAATTGTTTTATGAAAAGTGTTCATACCCAAATGACTCAGGTTTGACTAAGGCCAACACAAAAATTAGATCTGTTTCTGGTTTGCGTGAATGTCAGCTTTAAAACGCAGCACTCAGGTTATTTCTGTTTGAAAAACAAAAGGAGAGATATCACTTGCCTTTGGTGGCACAATAACTTGTTCATGCATGTGCAGATCGAATTTCTTGAATTTCATTAAAAGAGAAAATCGCAGCACTGAATTATTTTTTTTTTTTAAATGGACGTTTTTTTGGCCTTTATGTTATTTTACACTGTTGACAATAGAAGGTGGTTGACTAATCAGCAAGATATTTAGAAAACAAAATCTGACAATGTGATTATGTATAATTGTATTTTAAACTATGATTATGATGGGAAATACTATAATAAACAGTATTTTTAGCACTGTCAACAAAGTCAAGCAACAATCATATATTACTAATAGGAGACGACATCAACTTCACTTTTTCAACTTGCTCTCTAAAAATGTTATCCATATGGTTTTAATGATATTTTTCAGGAAGATACCTTGGATGGTTGTCTATCGGATTTGTTCATTTCATGGTGATATCTTCAATATTCAATACTAGTTTTAGTGAATATTTTTTGAAAAAAAAAATGCTTTTTTCAACTTCTTTAAAATGGCAAATCCTCTTTTCTTTCATATGTGTAGGTACCTTGGATGGACGTCTATTAGATTTGTCCATTTGATGACCTTAACTTTAATTCTTTAATTTTAGTGAATATTTTTATAATTTTGGGTAAAAAATATTTATTTTCAACTTCTTTTTGAAAAACAGCTTGCCCAAACGCCCCTCCCCCTACTCCAACACCCCCCCCCCCCAAAAATATGGGTACAAATTATGTGGCTGTTGATAAGATCATTTTAGAATAGTTTTACATAAACTTTCACCTTTGCTGTCACATTAGGAAATTAGAGCTGAGTTGGCAAAGCAGCAGCTGCTGGTCACTGCAAAAAGAACTGCAGCCAAAGAGTTGATGAGAATAAAAGGTATTTATTATAAATCACCTTTTTTTATTCCTGAAATCAAAATGAATCTATATTTTTTTTTTGATATTAGAATCAGTGTTATCATCATTACATTGTGGATTTTGTCTTTTATAATATTATAATCCATGGCTACAACTGTCAATACAATACAACTGTCAACCATTGCTTTACACAATTAGCATATTTAGATTTGCATAATATAATTATCAGCCAATCAACATCATGGTTACCCACTGTCCATGGAGGAAAAATCTTAGCAGCAATTCTATAGAGTTTGTCAGTAGAGTTTATAAAAGAGATGAAATGTGGATGGATCACTGACCTCATACAATCACATCACTTTCAGCCATAATCCCATTACTGTGTTGAAGCTTGTCAGTGATTTGTTGTGCATTTCTAGGAAGGTTATTGGCTGAATAATACTAAATTATTGCAATGCCACAACAGTCACATATGTTGCTATTTTCCTTTTCCTTTTACTTATTTGTCCGAGAAAATTCAGAGTTGTGAATAATTAATTACCGGTAATGTATCATTTGACCCCCAGCATATGCTATTGTACAGAGAGACTAGCCAAATATTAACAACAGAATGGTACCAAAAAAAAATTTTTACGGAAAAGTAGAAGTATCATTTTTGTTACATTCATTATTAACACAGATGAAATGAAGCAGGAGAGAATGGCAGCTGATGTGAAGAAAAGGAAACATTTCCAGGAACTGAAAGAGGAGATGGAGAAGTCTGTGCAGAGACGAGCGATGATAGTGGAAAAGGAAAAAGAAGAGGACGAAAAACGAGTAGAGGACATCATTAAAAAGGAACAAGACGAAAAAAATGCTGCAAGTGAGCTTGAAAAACAGACTAGGTAAAGCCATGTGTAATATTTCTCTCAGTAACTGTAATTGTTGTGATCACAGAACTGAACCAGAGACTAATTTTGGGGAAATTTGCGAGCCAGTGATCTGGTCCTACTACACCGAGTGGTTGTGACTCTTCACAAATGCCATAAAATCATTAAATCGTGATAAATAGCAGCAAAGATTAAATGGTTTAAGGTATTACTTATGCATGCATGAGTTAGTTTGTTTGTCAGGGATTATGCTTAGGAACACACTTTAGCATCACAATGATCTCTGCAGAATCATTATTTATCTCATTTATAATCAGTGTACTGAGCATGTTTTCATAACTTCTAAGCATTTTTAATTATGCTGATTATTAGTTCCGGTTAGAAAATTTCAGAACCTTCTGAAACCAAATTCATTTTTTGCATGTGTATTACATAAGCACATGGAGTGGTTTAGTGATTTGATCCAAGATGGCCGACTGGCAGTCATTATTTTTCTAATATTGTATCTTAGACATGCATTGTCTGATTTGTCAGTTTTTTTTCAAAATTTGGTACATACATCATACGACTCCATGGCAGCCATTTGTTTTTTGAGAATTTAGTATTATGGATGTGCCTTGATTGCATACCCGGTATATTATGCAAGCATGGCTGTCTTGATTTGTTGTGCCTTACTACTATATTTCCAAGACTTATGGACCATTTTCATTCATATTTGACACATACATCATATTTGTCTATGTCGTGTTTGACATACCGGTACATGTATGCTTCGTTCATTCATTGTAAAGTGCATTAGTGTTCCTCCATGAAAACATTGTTTAATAGAAAGAATGTCATTGGGTAATGCCATAACAAATAAGCTAGCACCTGCTTACAATGCTGGAGACATGTACTTTACCTGAGTTTTAATAAAAAATAATATTTTAATACAAGAAATAGCAAATAGGAATATAAAGTTTGTGACCGTATAGTTGGAAATTCTGAAGTTGTGTGATAAATCTGACTTTTGTGTTGCATGATAATAGATTAGTCTGTTATTCACTCTCAATTACTGACCATACACTTCAGAAACCATTTACCTGGTCATCTGACCAGTGATTTGCATATCCAATTTGATTTTAAATGTTATGCATTTAGCAATACACGTCCATAACAATTCAGCCATCTTGTTTTTCGGCCATATGCAACAGGGACTGTGTCATTAACGATGACTTTTTATATTTGCTTAGTAACAACGGTTCTGCATACAATAAGCACAATTCTTGGCTTATATTGAATATACACTTCTAATAAAGTATACTTATTATTGGTTGGTTTTTTCTAACAGGGAAGAGATAATTGAATACTACAATGAGTTGTCGGCAGAAGCTGCTATCAGAGAGCTGCGTGCACTTTGGAAGATCAGGCGTCATCAACTCGATGATGCCCGAATTGAATTTATGAGACAAAATGAAATCAACCTCAAACAGGCCTTGGAAGACAAGAAGAATGCCCTTGAAAGAGCCTTGGGATTACAGCAGGAAGTTTCTTCTTCATCCGTTGCTATGCCAACTTCTGCTAGATTATCAAGACCAACAAATTCTATTGTACCTGGGCAGCCAGATATTCCATTGAGCACATTTCTAAAACCAAATATCCAGGAACCTGTGGACCAAGATGATTCACCTGGCATCTCCAAAGAGTCTTCACCCTCTGTGAGACCTAAGGAACAACACAAAGAAAAACAAGTTAAAACAGAGCATGCTGCATCCAACAGTGTGGCAGGTAATGAGCATTCTGCCAAAAAAGATGTTGTCGATAACCTCATAACTTTGGATGATATAACTATCATAGAGGATGGAAAACCTAATGAAAATATTGAAGATGCCTTATCATTAGTCAGAGATATGCCCAGCCCTGCAAAAAGTCAGAGTAAAGTTCCCATGAACTTGCTAGACTTCTCAATTAATGATTTTCTACCAAAGGATCCAAAAGACGGAAAAGTGAATGAAAGTCTGGAAGAGACATCGGGAGAAGCCACCTTAGATGACATTCTACTTGACATTGGTTCATCCCTTCCGACTCAGAGCCATGATGTGTTGAATGAACCGCCAACTGCACAGCATCCCTCTGATGACATTGCTGGTGATATTCTCTATCCTGATGCGAAAAACACCAAAACCAATGAGAATCTACCTTCTACTAATGCACACGGACATCCATCTGAATCCACTTTCACTGCCGGAGGTGTTTCAGTCGAGGATGTTCTTAATATAATAAAACCTAATGTTCATGGTCATACTAGCGACTCCATCGCTGGCTGTGTTATATACTCTACGCAAGGGTCTGAAGACCCAAGACCTTCTGCTAACGTCCATGGCCATCCATCTGACTCAAAACTATCAGGAAGAGATGATGTTATTGGAGAAGATGACTCTGCAAAGCCCCGGCCCAGTGAGTTTGGTCATGCTAGTGATGCTAAAGCAGGGAACATTATTTATTCTTCTGAGGGTGCTGAGGAATCCAGACCATTACCTAACATCTACGGACATCCCTCAGACTCTGGCGCCTTTGATGATGTTGTAGCAGTTCACATGCCAAGGGCGAATGAATTTGGCCATGCCAGTGAGGCTTCAGCAGGACATGTGATTTATTCCACTGAAGGAGTGGGTGAGAATCTGCCAGTACGAAGTATGTACGGCCATTCCAGTGACTCGACTGTCAGTTCTGTTTTGTATCCTGAGAACGCGAGATACATAGAAGAATATGAAATGACAAAGAGATTGCTCAATAAAATGGATGGAAAGAAGAGTGATGAAGATGGCGGTGATGATATTGGTCTTCCAGGGTTACCACTGAAGTCTTCTGAGAAGATGTACAAAATCAAAGTGGTTGCTAATGATACTGGTGTATCAGTCAGTCCGAAACCCCATCCATCAGACTCTAGGGTTCAGAATCTCGTGCATGTTAGTAATCACGCTCCCGGGAAAAAGACACATAGTGGAGCTGATGTCGATTATTCACTCAATCCTGTTGTGTTTGTCCAACAGAAGCGTCATCTGTTGCTTCACCCCTCTGACTCCTCAGTTCAGTCGATGATGTATCCAGAACCTGGCGATCTCTGGCACAAGGAACCAACGGCCGTGCAGTCACGGAACAAACCCGCAGGACGTCCCTCTGATTCCAAAAATCTGAATCTTGTGTATGGAATGCCTAAGCTGTCCAAACGAGGAAGATCAGATGGAGAAAGTGGCATGGATCAAGTACAAAGTCGTGGACAAGATTTGGGAATGCGAGCAAAAGCATTGATGTACCCTGGACTCTTCAACAAAGGTAAGTTCAGATTTGACATTGCAAACTCGCTGGGTGGGACTCATCACTAGTAAGTAACATCTATGATTATAACCGACTCTGTAAGTCTTGAAGTGGTTAGGTAGAAATGGCATAGCTTCTATTATTTTATTTTTTTGCCTTTTTTTCATCATTTTCTTTGATTTTCTTATCATGTTAACCTTCTCACCAACTCTTTTTTAATACTTTGTGTAATCTGGATAACAAGGATTGGGAATTTCATTATTCCATGCCTTTTTTGGTAACTCTATGCAGCAAACTACGGGAGTTTCAGTGGAAATTAAACCACAATATCCTGTACACAAATGAAATGTTATTCCATATGAATTCACCATTAGTATCGTCAGATTTATGCTCATTTTGTCATGGTACCACCAAGAGTCTAGTGCATCTTTTTGTTGAATGCGAGTCTATTAAAGTCCTCTGGACATCAATTTTTAATCTATAGGGAACAAAACTAGGATGTCCAAGAACATTGTTAGCAAAACAGATTATATTAGGAGACAAGGACTTCTCCCCTCTACTAAACCATATAATTATAATTGTTAAAAAAAATATCTATCATGTAAATTAAAAAAAGGAACTACCATGCTTTAATCTCATAAAATCTGATATACGTTACACACAAAAGATAGAGTTAGAAATTTCAAAAAGAAGACCTACAATGTCCATTTTCCTGGACAAGTGGGGAGACTTTAATTGTTAGTAACTTTCATATTTATTTTCTACATTTTAATTGGGTGGTTACTGTCCAACTTCTATATATGGTTAATCTGCATGGATAGATGATCTTCCCCACCCTATGCAATGATCTTCCGATCATATGTGATCTTCCCTACCCTTTGTAGTTCATCTCTTCATCTTATACTGTGATCTGTCCCCACCTATGTAATAATATCCACACCCCATGCTATGATCTGCCCGCCCTTACACAGGGCAAGCCATGTGTAGTTTAACTATGTTTTTTTTTAAAACTATTTTAATTGTAGATACCTATGATGGGGACATTGATGATGACAGAGACTCTGTCCACCAGTCTTACCATGTATGGCTTGGTGATGTGGTGGAACCGTTGAGAGTTAACTTTGATGTCCTAAGTAAGTATCAGAGTTTCAGAAAATCTGACTTCTTTATATACATATGTATCTCTATATGTTCTATAGATGATGATATGACCCCCTGTAATCACAGTTTTGGATTTGATGATTGTTTGGGTTATCATGGCAAAGAAATTTTGCGAACATCACTGTGAAGTCCCTCTGCAGTGAAATTCACTGCTAAAAATTTGTGCGATTTTTCCTATCTTGCCAAATTTGCAAAAATTTATCGTTGACTATCTGTTAAAGGTGTTCACAGAATAATCAGATTTCAACCATAATGTACGTATGCTTAACATTCATATTTCAATGTTTTTAACAACAGTTTTGTATGCTTGATATAGTACCTGTTTCTGAAAAAAATGAGAACAACAACATTTGTGTATCATGTCGTACATTTG